TTAAGCAGCACAAGTGTTTTCAACATTGATAATAATAAGAAATGTTTCTTGAGCAGTAAATCAGTATATTAGAATGATTTCTGAAGGATCATGTGACACTGAAGACTGGAGTAATGATGCTGACAATTCAGCTTTGCATCACAGGAATACATTACATTTTTAAACATTAAAACGGAAAACAGTAATTTCACAGTATTACTGTTTTTACTGTATTTCCTCGTATTTTGATTATAAAAGACTTTTTAAAAAAACAATTACAAAATGACTTAAGTTATAATAAGTATAACTTAGAAAACTTGAAAACATACATTTCATATGTTTTCAAAAAACATATGAAATGTAGTTGCAATAAATGCGTTAAGAATCCGTACAACTGCAGCAGTGGAGGACTATTATTCTGCTGCATGATACTGCAGAAGAACTGATGATGGTACGGTTTGATCTTCGGCTGACCAATCAGCAGAAAGGGGCGTTTAATTCCCGCCCACGTGTAGAAATCGAATATTCAAGCTGTTTATTCATTTTTCCACCCAAGAATGAAAAACAAAAATTTAAGCTGAATTCTCGTTTTTCGTGTTTTGGAAAAAAACTAAAATACGAAAAAGGAGCCGTTTTCTAATTTTTCTACTTTCAATATTAAATCAAAAAACGAATGATCGAATGATACACGGATTGTTTACACTAGTGCTTTTTCGTTTGAAAACTTTTTACTTTTGCTACGGTTATGCCTGTCGTTTACACTGCTCCGCCATTTTAGAGGTCGAAAACTGAGACTTTTGAAAATGCTGCAGACCCCGTTTTAGTATGAAAACTCTGGGGTTGCGTTACGGACCAAAACGGAGACTTTTGAAAGCGATTGCGTGGCTGCCCACATTCTCTCTGCATATCCTTGACGACAGTGTAAACAGTAACATCATGCTCATTGTTGTACCCATAGATATGTATAGGTTGTTTGTCTGATTGTTTGAGGGCCAATCCAGTGCTCTTTGGTCATTGTCAGCTACTCTCAAATCCTGACAGACCACTCTGTGTAACAACACTAGTTGCTAAGTAACATGTTTTTTGACCCCTGACATTCAAACACAATTGCCATGATGAAGAAGTGACTCCCAATAGAACAGCAAACAGACGGACAAGAGCTGGAGGTTATTAGCGATCTAGCTGAGAACCCAACCACCTGTACAATGTAGTCAACCTATCAATGCTTTGCATGAACACAGACATACAGACACAACCAGGCCTCTTACTAAGAACTTGCGTTTCTGCTTCCAGTGAGGGCCCTGGGCATTGGTGTGACGATGAGCCTCCGTCACCATACGAATCAGCTCCCACTCCGAGACGGTGGGCTCAGGCCGATTGTGCAGTGTTTTCACAATCTCCTCTTTCTTTTTCCGTTCCCGGTTTTCCTCGATCAGACGCCTCTTGGCCACACGCTTTGAATCATCCAGCACCACTGCCAGGGACATGAATCACTCGCACAATCACTCATTTAATACTCTCAGTACTAAACAGGAAATGGCAGGCAATGTTATGTAATGTTATTATGCGTAAGAAGATTATAGCAGGTTTTTTCAAAGGCCAGATTTATATATTTATTTTTTGAGAAACAATGTCATTTAAAGACATTTAAAGATTTTTACAGAGACTGCAATCTTACCATCAGATTGTGCTGAATTAATACTTCAGCAGGGTTTATATATTAATAACTACTGAAAAAAATACATACATATATAATATAAAAATTTTAAACATTAGGAAACATTTTCTGTAGTCTTTAGACACTAGTAAGTCTTTTCTAAAATAAAATTAAATAAAATAGAAAAATAAAAAACACCAAATAAAAATATATAATAATAATAATAAGACTTTTTTCTAAAAAAAATTAAAAAAAAATAAAATAAAATGGTCACGCTTTAATTTAAGGTCCAGTTCTCACTATTGACTAACTATTAACTACGACTTTTCAAACTCCTAATTACTGCTTTTTAAAAGTTAGTAAGGTAGTTGTTAAGTTTAGGTATTAGGTAGGATTAGGGATGTAGAATATGGTCATGCATAATATGTGCTTTATAAGTACTAATAAACAGCCAATTTGCTAGTAATATGCATCCTAATAAGCAACTAGTTAATAGTGAGAATTGGTCCCAATACTACATAAATATTAAATATAAATATACTAAATAAAATAAAATAAAATAAAATGTGTTAGTCTGTAGTCCTTTTTATTAACTTAATATAAAAAAAACGTAATCTACAGTATGTCTTCATTTAGCCAAGCAAACGTGTGTGTGTGTGTGTGTGTGTGTGTGTGTGTATATGTGTGTTTGTGTGAACACTCACAGTCAATGGCCATGCCCACCGAGATGCACTTCTTGAAGCGGCACAGCTGGCACTGGTTGCGAGTGATTTTATCAATGATGCAACAGCTGTCATATTTGCAGGAATAGGAAGGGTGAAGATTCTTCTGTATTGTCCTCCTAAAGAAACCCTGGGAGAAGAAGAAAGCAGATTAATGCGCAAGTACAGACTGATTATGATTATCAAGCGGTTCAGGGGTTGGAAATCTCACCTTGCAGCCCTCACATGTGATGCAGCGGTAATGGTAGCCGGTGGCCTTGTCCCCGCATACCACACATGGCTCATCTTTCTCCAGGTAGCTGGGAACATACCCTGGAACAGAGATGATGTTCACTAGAAGAGGAGGAGGAGATGGACTGTTACAACAGAACACACACACATACACACCCACACCATGCTTTATGGGGACATTTCATAGACGTAATGGTTTTTATACTGTCCAAACTTTCTATTTTCTATCCTCATACCCTAACCCTACCCCACACGCAAAACATCTCTCATTATTATATTTTTAAAAAACTTCATTTTAAACTATTTTCCTCATTGAGACCAAATAAAATGTCCTCACAATGTCAAAAATGACTGATATTACCATCCTTGAGGGGACATTTGATACCCATAATGTAGGGAATACCAGGAACACACACACACACACACACACTACCTCTACAACCCTGAGATACTATTTCACCAACACTGACTGTCATATTGTTAATAACTCCTTTTGTGTTCTGGGAAGTCATAAGCGTTTCGAGAATCACAAGTGTGAGGAGATGATAACAGTATTTTTAGTTTATTCCAAAAAGATCTGTGGACAATGTTGGACTGTGAACTCAATTAAACTGACCAAACACAGACATGTTGTCTGTTTCAGAAAAATACTTAAAAATGTATATTGTGTATATGTATATATATATATATATATATATATATATATATATATATATATATATATATATATATATATATATGTGTGTGTGT